GTTCATCCACATCTTATGTCATCATCCTTCACTATTTGCTTCTTATGCATGAGAATCTCATGCCTCTTCCAGCCTTCAATCTTTCTGTCATTTCAGCTACACCCATTCCCCCCCAAAAGATTGTGAGCCCCCTGCTCCCCACCATTCTTCTCACTTACATGAATATATGTATTTATTACAGGCAATGTTTTTTACAAGGGATAATTTTCAAAATTGAATGTTGTTTTTTCAAAAAAATTTTTTATATTTATTCCATGTGCATGAGTCTTTTGCCTGCGCATATATGTGGGCCTGGCAGAGGTCAAAAAAAGGCATTGTATTCCCTGGAACTGGAGTTAAAGGTAGTTGTGAGCTGCCATGTGAGTACTGGTAAGAACAGAGGTCCTCTGGATGAGCAAACAGTACATTTAACTACTGAGCCACCTCTCTAATCCCAATATATTTGAATATGTTGTTAGTGAACTGACTGGTGAAGAAAACTACTCAGCTTATTCCCTTTTACATGTAAACAAGAATAATTTTTATTTTAAATGCCATTTTTTAAAAACTCTTTAAGTGGAAAATTCATGTTTTAACCTAAACCCATTCATGGGATTATTGCATAAACTCAAAAAATGTATGGAGAATTTGTGTATGATCCTGTGCTCAGTAGCATTGTTTATAGAAATTTTTATTTAGACCTTCTGGAATATTTGAAAATAGATTTTTTTGATTAATAATATTCATTCTTTACTAAGCTTCCAGCCCAGTAAAGCTCAACTCTTAGTTCTTCCTGTGGTAAGCAAGTGATGGTAATTTTAATTTTTTTGTGCAATACCTTTAAAAGGAAAGCATGTTAATTTAGTAAATGACAAAGTTCAATTAATTATTATTTCTGAACATATAGTGATATGAAATTGTTAAATGAAAAATTAGGTCAAAGATATTTGCCATATGATTGCTTCTTGAAAACACATTTATCTGCATAATACATTCAATACAATGCAATTAGTATATTCATATAACACTGCCTTCTTTCTCCCTCTCTGTTTTTTTTTTAAAATACTGAGTCATTTATCATGCCTTTGGTTCATTATATCTCCATGATGATTAAGGTAAATACCAAATTGCTGCTAAAGCTTAGTCAAATTAAAGTTTAATGTTTGGGGTACAAATACTTCATAAATGATACCCAAAAATTCATGATATTTGGTTGTTTCTAGTTTGAGGTGTGAATTTTTTTAACCAGGCATTGCTATCCTTTTGTATATCATTTACTTATTAGTTTTTAAATAATTATTATCAGATTCTATTTTAATTTCTTTATGTATTAGAGGAAAGTTTTGTTTGCTTGGTTGGTTTTAAATTTTGGAGACAACCCTGGCTGTCCTGGAATTCTCTCCCTCTCTCTCTCTCCCTCTCTCTCTCTGTCTCTCTCTCTCTCTCTCTCTCTCTCTCTCTCTCTCTCTCTCTCTCTCTCTCTCTCTCTGTAGACCAGAGTAGCCTCACAGAGATCTGCCTGGCTCTTCTTCCCAAGTGCTGGGATCAAAGGCTTGAGAAAATATTGTTATACTGACATGCTCTTACCATTCCTGCTTCCCTGTCTTTACCACCAACAGTTATAGAGCCTGTTTGCTCTCCTTCCACCCCCATCCCCCATCCCTCCTTCTCCACCTTCTGCCTGTCCTCTTCTCTCATCCATACTTTCCTTCTCCATATGCTTTTCTCTCCTTTCTGCCTCTCTTTCTCCCCTTCCCTGTCCCACCATTTTCCTTCACCCCACGCTCTCTCCTCCTTTCCCCCTCCCTCCCCTCTATCCCCACCACTCACTCTCCTCCTTCATCCTCCCCCATTTACTTCTCTCTCTTCCCCCATTCACTTCTTGCTTACTTACTTTTTTTTTTTTTTTTTTTGAGGCTGGGTTTCACTATGTAATTCTGGCTGGCTATCCTGGGACTATGTAGATCAAGCTGCTCTCCTGTTAACTGTTTTTAACCCAAACTCACCTTAGCCTTATACTATTAAGTATGCTGGCCTTGAATTTTAGATCCTTCTTCAATCTTTTGAGTATCTGGGTTTACAGGCCTGTGCCACCAAGCTTGATTTAGTATTATTTGAGTAATGTTGCCTATGTGTCATCGGGATATGGGTCTACATATTTCACTCTCCCTTTTTCTGTTCATCCTTGTATTCTTTTTCTGCTTCCCTCCTTCCAGCCAACCTTCCCTGCTTTCTTTTTCTCTCCTTAACCCTTGCCTCCTTTTTGCACTTCTTTTGATGGGGTCTTGCAGTGTACTATAGTTTAGCCCAAAATCTACTAGTCTCCTGCCTCAACTGTAGTGTTCTTTGGAAAACTATCTTCAGTAGTTAAGCAGGACTCATAGGAGCCCACAGAGATGGAAGCAACAATTAAGGAGTCTGTATGGATCTGATCTAGGTCTTCTGCGTTGAGGTTATGATTGTGTATCTTGGTCTTATTGTGGAAGTGGGGGTGTCTCTGACTCATTTGCCTGATTTGGGGTTGCCTCATTCAGGCTTGATATGAAGGTATGTACTTAGTCTCTCTCTTTTTATTTTTCTTCAAGACAGGGTTTCTCTGTGTAGCAGTCCTGGCTGTCCTGGAACTCACTCTGTAGACCAGGTCTCAAACTCACAGAGATCCGACTGCCTCTGCCTCTCAAGTGGTGGGATTAAAGAAGTACAACACCACCCAGCCACCTAGTCTTATTGTAACTTGTGCCAGGTTTGGTTGATATCCCTGGGAATTCTGCTATTCTTTTTGAAGAGAAATGGAGGAGGAGTGAATCTGAGGAAGGGGGGACATGGAGTTGTGACTGGGAGAAGTAGAGGGAGGGGAAACTTGGATCATATGTAATGAATGATGAAAGAATAAATAATACAAAAAAGAAACCTTCTGATTTAATGTGTACATCTCTAGGTGGCTGTGTATTTGTGCTCTGTGTGCCTAATATGTGGTTCAGTAATTCCACTCTTGCTAACAGTATTTCAGAAAAAGTGATGACTGTCAAATTATGTAAAATTGTACTTGCAACCAACAAATATCTCAAAGCCATGGTTAGCATCATGCATAAGTAAAAACCCTTCAAAGAAAAGAAAATGTCTTTACTGGCTTAGAGCACCTTCTGCTCTTGCAGAGGATCTGGGTTCAGTTCTTGGTACCCACATGGTGGCTCACAACCATCTATAATTCCTGTTCTACGGCATCTGGCCACCAAGGGCACAGGAATGTACATGGTTCACATTCATACATTTCAGCAAAACTCATGCGTGTGCGTGCGCGAGCACACACACACACAAACAAATCATGTTTAACTCTTTCATTTTGTCATAAGGATCACTCTGGCTTTATAAAGGAAATTTGGAAAAGTTCTTTTCATTATAAGTTTTTGGAATGGTTCCAGAAAACTGGAGGCTAGTTCTTCTTTATCTGGTTTGTAGAATTAAGCTGCAACTCATCAGATTCAGAACACTTTTTTACATAGATGTTTTTGATTACTCTAATTATACTTCTCATTTCCTCTTCATTCAAAAATTTTATAGTTTGTGTGTATTCAGAAATCTGTCCTTTTCTTCTTGGTTTTCCAGTTTAGGGTATATAATCATAGCATTTCCTTAAGGCTCATTTGAATTTCATTTCTAATGTCTCCTTTTTCATTTCTCTTTTTATTTAGTTAGTTATTTGTCAGTTCTCATGTCTTTTTTTTCCTCTGATACTCTAGCTAAATATTTACCAGCTATATACTTTCAAAAATCCAACTTGGGGAGGGAGCCTGGAGAAATGGATTGGGAGGTTAAGAGCACTGGCTGCTTTTCCAGAGTTCCAGAGGTTCTGAGTTTGATGCCCAGCAACCACCTGGTGCTTCACAAATATCTATGCGATTTGGTGGTCTTTTCTGGTACGCAGCCAGAACACTGTATGCATAATAAATTAAATCTTTTATTAAAAACTCAGCTCTTTTAAAATTGATATTCTTGTTTTTACCACACATGCCCTCTCCTTTTATTTTTTTATTATTAATTATACTTTGTCATTTATTTTACATGATAGTGGCAGTTTCTCCTCCCTCATCTCCTTCTGTTCCCTCCCCCTGACTCCCCTCTGCCCCCCCATCCACTCCTCCCCTGTTTCTGTTCAAAAAGGGGCAGGCCTTCCATGGGTGCCAATAAAGCGTGGCATATTAAGTTGAGGTATGACTAACCTCCTCCCATTGTATTAAAACTGGGCAAGACAACACAGTATGGGGACTAGGTTCCCAAAAGCCAGCTCAAGCATTAGGGACAGGACCTTCTTCCACCGCTAGGAGTCCCACAAGTAGTTTTAAATTGATCTTCTACATTACTTTTTTTTTTCTTATTTTACATATTGATCCCAGTTCCCTCTCCCTTCCTCCCATGCCCCCGGACCACCCTCCCATCCCATCCCCCCACTCCACAGGGAGGATGATGCCTTCCAGCAGGGGTCAACAAAATCTGTCAAGTCATTTGAAGTAGGGAAGTAGGGTCTGTGCCCTCCCTCCTGCCTCTAGGTTAAGGGAGTATTCCTCCACTCATGGAATCCAGATGCAGAGAGGGAAGGGTGATAAGAAATGGGGACAAGACCAGGCTATAGAAACCCACAAAGACAGCTGATCTGAACATGGAGGAGCTTATGGGCCCCCAGACTAATAGCGGGGAAAACAGCATTGGACCGACTCAGACCCCCTGAACATGGTCTCAGTTAGAAGGCCTGGGCAGTCTAAGGGACTTCTGACAGTGGAACCAGGATGTATTCCTGGTTCACAAAAGGACTTTGGGAGCACATTACCCATGGAGGGATACTTCCTTAATTACATTACTTTTTAAAGTTTTATTTTTATTTGTGCTCCAATCTTTAACGTTTCCTTCCACTGACTTTGAATTTGGTTTGTTGTTGCTTTGTTTATAATTATTGCTTTTTGAAACTGTGTTGAGTGTAGCTAATCAATGTGTGCTTAAACTTGCATCTTTCTTCTCAATTCCAGAGCAAAGTGATGAGAAAATCCCTCTCCAAGAAGACAAGAAAGATGTGAGTTATTCCCAGGGAAGTTCTAGTAAGGAGAGCCTTCTTGATGAATATCATGAGGACAGTCTTCTGCTTCTACAACTCCAGGACAATGATAGAAATATTGAGATAAATTATGCTTCTGATGACTCACAAATACTATAGTAAGTAATACAGACAAGCTGTCTTGCATATAGTATCCCTTGGGATTCTACAACTTTCCTAGTCTGTAATTTTTCTCTTATTTCAAAGAAAAACATGACCAGTGATGAAATTCCCACTTAGAGAGCTTAGAGAGCTGTTTATCAATGAAGTAAGACTGGTCTTTTTGAATAGGCTTGTAAAAATTCTAAGTACTTATTGATAGTTCTTTCTATCATTTCTCCACAACAGCTTGCCTACCTTCCAAATCAAAGAAGATGATGGTACATGTTATGCTGGATGCCAAGATATAATTTTTCCAGAGGATGAATGGAATGATAGTGTAGAGGATGAAGCCTTGGAGGGATGGTTCAAGATCACTGTGAGTGTACTCATAGGTGAATAGTGTGCAAGGGAGGCAGGTCAGGTGGTATTACTTTGATCACATTTATGGGTAGATTCAGAAAAAGGAATAGAAAAGACAACAGGATGGGTACAAGAAAGTGAGGTCACCGGAGAAAGGCAAAGGTAGAGAAAACTCCAAAGAACATGGAGAAGCCCCATACCGGTTATCTCAATGTGGTTCAAACTGAGATTTTGACAGCTCTGAAATCTTTGACAACCAAGTAAGTCTTACATAATTTGGAACCACCTGCATGCTTATAAAATCTTATAAAGGTGAGGTAGGTTTTGAATACCTGGGTTTTGTTGTTTTGAATATAAACATTGAACTATAGAGAAAGGAAAATTTAGGATAGCCACACAGAGAAAGAAAGAAACTTGGGAAGGAGGGAGAGAAAGGGAAGGAAGGAAGAAAAAAAGAATTTGTACTAATTGTCTCCACATTATAAGTTTTTTTTTCAAAGAGTTGAGCAGGATAAAACATTACATTTGATCTGTGTTCTTAGTATCACATTTCTTTTCTCTATTATTCCTTCTTTTTGCCCACAGATTCCAAATGGGAGAAAGTACAACAAGATGTGGATAATAAACTTACTCCAGAGCCATTGCAGTGTGCACTTCACACCAGTTGATGTAAGAGATGACATTGAATCCCAGTGTGTGCACACAGGAGATAAAGAGAGGCCAGGGTCACTGCAAGATGCTTGCCTCCAGCATCATTGTTGTTGTCTTCATCCCTTGTAGTTCCAGTACATCAGAAACCGGATACAGTTCTTTGTTCAAAATGCTCAAAGTGCCTTTGAATTGAAGAATATGAACTGTCAGATAAGTGATGAGGAAAACAGAAAGGTTGGTGTTGATGGAGTTCCTTTTAACTACTTCTTGCATAGATGAAGCCAGGCCAGGGTTGAATAAGTCTGTCTCTAGGACTGGAAGTCCTGATGCTTATCATACCCTCCCTTCACACAGATTTCTATCCATGTTAATTCATCTACTGAGCCTTTATCTGTGCAGTATAAATTAACACCACAACAGATGGAGATCCTAAAAGTAAGTCAGACTTGAGACACATCGCTTTCACTTCCTAGATCTCCTCCCTTTTCCCCACTCAGTGAAGTACTTGTCACCAAGATTCTACTCTCTCCATATCTGTCTTGGCAGCTGAGCATGAAGAAACGATATGATGTGTCCCATAAAGCTCTGTACCTCAGGAAATTTCGCTTTGACCCAGGTAAGACTGGTAGCAGTAATTGTAGGTCACAGGTCTTCAAGAAGTAAGATAATGGTAACCAGAGAAGGGGTCTGCACTGGTGCTGGTCCACACAGAGCTCTCTTTACCTACTAATTACTTTCTTTCTACTTCTGAAGACTTAATGGATTATGGGCTTGACATATTTCTGAACAGAAGAAGCTGCATGTCTGCCACCCTTCAAATCATTCAAGTGGATTTCCCTGAGGTGAGGCCATAGAGCCAGGGATGATATTTGGTGCAGGGCTGGATGGGACAGAGTGTTGGGGGCTTTGTCTTTGAGGAAGTGTATAGTAATGATAATGCTAAATCTTGCTCCCTAAAGCTATTATCCTTGAACTTGAGCAACAACAAAATATACAGGCTTGATGCCCTGTCTGAATTAATAGAGAAGGCCCCCCAGATCAAGATTCTGAACCTTTCAAAAAATGCGGTAAGAGGATGGGGTTTGGGTTGTGGGTGGAAGGTAGTGTGCACTATAATGTGTGACTGCAAGAGGCAAGACAGGTACCCCCGTGTAAAGGTGCTATGTTCTATACATATGTCTTTTCATGGGACGTCTTTACCAATTCTCCTCATTCTCTCCCAGCTAAGAACCGTGTGCGAGCTGGAGAAGATGAAGGGGCTGAAGCTGAAAGAGCTGTGGCTAGAAGGGAACCCTTTGCGCAGCACCTTCACAGACAGTTCTGCCTACGTAAGGTACATCATGGCAGCTGACACCTTCCCCTTCATAGATCCCCTTGTCTCCTGGTTGCCTGAGAGACTCTGTGGGAGGAGGCAGGCCTGGTCCTCTGGGAGGATCACAGGCCTGCCCTCTCCCCTGTCTCTGTAATGGGCTGTGCCTGCAGGCCTCCTTTGATTCTGTTCTGCATGCCTCACCTCACCTAGTGTGGGTAGGGTTTCCCTTGTGTGAGTTTTCGGCCTCCTCCGGCAGGCCCTGCCTTGCCTCATCTCAAGGGCACCAGGCCTCCTCTCCGGTCCTGAGAGGAACCTCCAGATCTTGTTCCTGAACGGTCCCCTCTTCTGTCCCAGGCTGCCCTAGAGGTTGTCCTGCCCCAGGCTGAGGTGCTGGGTGATGCTGACGTGGACATCACTTCCTCTGGACTACAGCTGGGATGTCTGCCCTCCTTGTGGGGGGGGCTGGTCTCTCTGAATCTGATCCAGGATTGGGCCATGACTGGGGAGCTGAAGGCTTCCTGGAGCAGGAAAGGGAGGCAGAGTGCAGAAGAGGTTGAGGAGACAGAAGGACTGCCTTCCCCAATGGCTCCACCCCTCCTTCTTTCTCTGTCTTTACCTATGCACTAATCTACCTTGCTCATCATCCTGCCTAGCATATAAAAGGAGCCTTGGGTAGCCTGAGGCAAGCAACTTGATTCCTTGCATAAGACCCACATTCAAACAGGCACAGGTGCAAAGGAGTCTTCAGGAGAGAATCAAGTCATCATAATTGGAGCCCATAGGGTTTCCATCCCATGCTGAGCTGGGGACTCACCCCTATCTCTTCTGCTTCTCGGGAATGACTATTGCCTCCAGGATGGTCTTTATCTTCCGTTTACTCAGGAAAATTATAGGCTTGTGTGCCCTGACAGGCTCAGTAGTGTGACTGTTTTCATTCCTGCTTTGGATCCCTGGACCAGCCAGGCAGGTATGAAGGAAACCGCAGCAAGAGAGTAGCCTTTTGTCCTAAATTACCGCAAAACTGCTGACCCAGGCTACACGGAGCATCTCCCAATCCCTTTGCATTGTTCCTTCCATCTTCTTTGACTTTACTCCCCTGTTTCCCTCATATCTCCTTCACCTTTCCTCTCTTACCATCCATTTCTGTCACCATCTACTATCCCCTTCCATCTTCCTCTTGCCTCTTGAGTCATGTCTCCCTCAACTCCACTTTCCAGCATTTCAAAGAAACCTGGCCACCTGGCAAGGTGACAGGGCCCTAATCTCCAGTTCTTTGCCCTGCTCCTTTAAAGGCCATCTCTGAAGACTCTGAGGAAGAGGAGGGAGGCAGGGAGTGGAGGAAGCCCTGGACTCTGAGTTCCCAACTTGGCTCCTTGTGACCCTAGAGAAGGGGGCCAGTGCAATGTGGGTGGGAGATACCCAGGCATGGGAGGCAGGCAGGTAAGGAGAGGGAGGAACACAAGAGGGAGAACCCGGGTACAGGTGGGGACGTGGGAGAAATTTTATTATGACTTGAACTGTCAGTCACTCCTTGTGGCTTTTGGTTTTTCAACAGAGCTGTTCTGAACTATTTTCCAGAGTTGTTATGCCTGGTAAGGTCCTAGATTTGTTGTTTGTTTTCTCCTTCTTTAAATACAAAACCTCAATTCTTGTTCAAAAGCCCTTTGCATCTTGCTGGATAACATGTGTATCTATTTTAAGTACTATGGATTCTTGAAAGACATAAAAATAAAGCATAGATCTTTGCCTTGGGGGAAGGGGGATTTCCATAAGCAGAGAAAGATGGAAGGAGGAGAAAGGGGATGATATCTTTCAGACATCCACTGGAATCTTATAGCTCATGCCATTTCTTGGGTCATTTCACCCCTGGCTCTTATCCTTGTTCTGAAGCCTTCAATCTCTTTATCCTTGGGCAGCATCATGTGCCATGTCTCCCATCTGTGCTCCAAACTTCTTTCCTGCAGGATGGCTGGAAATTGTTCCCAACAGTTGATACTGACACCTTGGAAATAATAAAACCATGCAAGGTGAGGAGGGACCATCAAGAGGCAAAGAGTTGCAAGGGATGTGTTTGTCAACCACATACTTTAAAAGTACCTTTCATTTCAGGAAACGTACAGAGGATCTGAAAGTCTCAAGGATCTGGTCGTGCAATTTGTGCTTCAGTGAGTTACCCCAGGAGCCTGAGAAAGCAGAAGTTCATGCTGGGCTGTCTTAGCACAAGCTTGTGTATAAAAGTTTTCAGGTATCATTTGGGACTTGTACTAGAGGTAGCCTAGCCTCTTTGCTGCACTTCCCACAGGTATTACTTGATCTATGATTATGGTGATCGACGCAATCTCCTCACTGCTTACCATGCAGACGCCTGCTTCTCCCTGACCACTACTTCCAATTCCAACAAGCCAAACATGTGAGCATCACAGCCAAAGCTTTATCCTGGAACAGGACTAAAAAAAATAAAATTAAAACAACAACAACAACAAAACACCTCTAACACAGGCAGGGATGAAAACACCCTAAATGACTGGAATATGCTCTTGTTATTTTTTCTACTAGGAGAACGTTAGAAGAATACTACAAGGATAGTAGGAATATGAAGAAAGTCAAGGACTCCTGTAAGGATGTAATGAAGTGGTAAAGAAGGCCATGAAATGGTCCAAGGCCCAATGAGGTATAATGACTACCACCTTTGTTTCTCTATACAGTTTCACGGATGCAGCTGCTGAAGCACAAAAAATGTAACATTGTGACCTGCCTTCATGAACTGCCAAAAACTCAGCATGATTTAAGTTCCTATGTAGTAGACGTTTGTGCCCAGACAGTAAGTACCTGTTTCTTCCCTTAAGCTGAACCAGAAAGGTATAAGTAAGAACTTTTGGAAAAATGGTTAAAGCCTTAGTTTACTATTTTCTTTCTTTTTTTTCTTTTCAGGAAAAAATGATCTGCTTTTCTGTCAATGGGGTGTTCAAAGAAAGTAAGCATACAATCTTCTTAGTAGAGAGTTTGGGGACTTCATTTCCTTGGCAGAGGTTCCTACAAGAACTTTCCCAGCTGCCCCCCATTCCCTTCTCTTCCTTACTGATTCATCATTTCCAGCATGTTGTTTTCCTCCCATATCTGTGTGCACTTCACAGCCCAGGCATTAGGGCTATAGAGTTTGATTGCTTTCATTTCATGTCTTTACTTTATGACCTGCTAACTCATTATTTTCCTCATTTCCCCAAAGTATGTAATAATAGCCACTCCTTAACTACGAATAAAGTGGATTTATTTGTCCAGGAAACCAGTCTATGTTAAGAGGGTCTTGCATGGAAAACTGAGTATTTCTTTTATTACCCTCTATTCCTGAAAATTCCTCCCAACTCTTCATGAAAATTGTTCCAGTCTGGCTTCCTTCTGGGTCACACAGAGTATCTAGTCAGACTCACTGGGGAGTTTTTAAATTATGTACAACCCTAATGGGTTTGTTTCTTTGTTGCCATTGAAGTGGAAGGAAAGTCTAAGGGATGTATTCGTGCCTTTACCCGGACATTCATCTTAACCACCGGCAGACATTTCAGGTGAGCGCTATGTTGTGGATAAATCTAGAAATACCCATTAAACTTTGAGCCAGTGGTGCATTAGTATACTCTTGGGAAATTCTTGGTAGCATAGAGTGCAAACAGCTAGTTCTAAGAAGTTGTCTCAGTAATTGATTGTGAACATGAATTGATTTTTTTCCCCCTGACACTCACTAATTAGCTGTGTGACCTTGGGCAAATTATAAGTGTTCTCTGTGAGTTAGTGTTCTCTGAAAAATGTGTGAGTGACCGCTTGTTTTGAAAAGTGTAAACAAGCAAGAGTTACATCTACAATTTAATGAAGCTGGTAGGCAATCTTTCAAAGGGTATTCCTGTGGCAGGGGAAATGGATATCAGCTAATAAAGCACAGAGATAGAGCAGGGGTTTGCTCTTAACAGCCACGTTTCTTCCAGGCTTTGCATTGTGAATGATGAGATGATTCTCAGGAATGCCACAGCTGAAGAGACCAAAAAGGTCTTTTCTACCACCATGCCCACAACCTTCTATGCCAAGAGTCATCTGCTGATGAAGGATTCCTCCACCCAGACTGATTTGAAGTGAGTTCTGGGAATCGCTGGCAATACCCTGAGTTAAAAGAAGTGGAGATTTAATAGAAATTTACAGCTATTCGGATGTTGTGAAGCCAAGTAATGGACCAAAAATTTTAAAATATGCATTAATATTATAGTGATTTTATAAGCAATTTAAAACAATGTAGTGTTCATATCAGACAGTGTGATATCCTACGTGCCAAACTGTAAGGAAAATATCAGGAGGTGTTATAAATAATTCGATATGTCAGCCTTATTTCAGGGTTCAAAATCTATATACAAAATTCAGTTGTATTACTCTATTCTAGCAATGAACAATTAAAAGTAAGTTTAGAAACCAATTCCATTTGCAATATCATGAAAAAGAAACATACCCAGGGACATGCTTAGCTAAGATTTGGAAAAGTATTGCAGAAATAAATAAGACTTAAACTAATGGGTGTATATTTTATCTTCCTGAACTGGAACACTTACTAATATTATGAGAACAAACTCCCCCAATTTTTGTTCATATCCTATGTCCATGCAATCTATATCAAAATTTCACCCACTACCTTCATAGAGACATGCAGGTCAACTTTAAAATTCAAATGAAAGTAAAGTGAACCCACAATAGAAAAATAATATTGAGAATGAAGACGATACATGGAAAACTCACTGCAAAGTTACTATCAATTTTCACTAAAGTATAAGAAAAAAAATAATGCTAGGTGCTATAGGTACAGGAAAAGATACATAGAATAATTGACAAAGTACAAGTCCAAAAGTATAAAACCGTGTATTTTCACATTGATAGATAATTGATTTTCAAACAGAGTGCCAAAGACACCAAGAGGGAAAATATTTTTTTCAGCAACTGATGCAGGGACAACTGGGTATCCCACTTACAAAAGAATCAAATTTTACCCTATATCACATATAAAAATAAACTTTAAAAAGTCCAGTGCTAAATGTGGTGGTGCATACCTATAATTCCAGCACACAGGAGGTAGATGCAGGAAGACCCCTGAGTTAAAAAAAATGAAAAGAAACTAAGGAAAACTAACAAATAGCTCAGGCTTATGCAGTGAAGAGGAAAAATGAGCTGGTTGTATAGCTCAGTTGGTAGAGAGCTTACCCAAGGAGCACAAATCCCTGGGATCGATTCCCAGCACTGCATAAACTTGGCATAGTTGTGCACACCTGAAGTGCTAGTACACAGAAGTTTAGTCTCAACTTCATAATAAGTTCAACATTTGTCTGGTTAATATGAGACCCTGTATGAGAAATACATACAAACATGTATAAATATTAAAAGCCAGGGGTCAAAAATTATAAAAGTCTTATAAGAAAACAGAAGATATATGTTGTTGAATTAGACAATGGTTTCTGATATATAGCAGCAAAAATACAAAAGAAAATATAAAATCAGATGAAGTAGATTTTATCAACTCTCAAATAATTTTGCTTCAAAAATATTATCAGTGAAATGGAAAATGACCAAGAAGCTATTTCCAAATGGTAACTTCTTGCAAAGGAAAAATGGGTATTCTCCAGTGGAGTCTTATTGGGTATGTAAACTACACTTAAGGGTAACCCAATGGTCAGCAGTAAATGGTCAACACAAAATTAACTCAGTGGTAATTTTGAAGATTTTTTGGTCTCATATTGCTTCGTGTGGGCATTATTTTATCTCATCAGTCTGTTGCTAGTATATAAAAAATTAAGAAATTCTTAAACAATGAAAGGATAATTCAATAAATCAGAAATGTTTGTGTATGTTTGGTAAAGAACTTGTATCCAAAATACATGACAAATTCTTAGAATTTGATATTGAAAAGACAAGTACTATTTTAAAATAATTAACTACATTCATTTATATATGCTATAAGGAGTGTTTGGAGGTTTGAGGACAACTTTCAGAAGTCAGTTGTCTCTTTCTACCAGGGTCTAGGGAAGCAAATTCAATTTGTTAGACTTGGTGGCATTGCCTTTTACCTGCTATCTTTGTTAAATTTTTCATTGATGTGATAAAACACCACGACCAAAAGCAGCTTAGAGAGGAAAGAATTTATTTCAGTTAGCAGTCTCAGGTCACATTCTCATCTGTGAGGGATATCAGGGCAGGAATACAAGGCAGGAACCTGGAGGCAGGGTCTACAGCAGAGGCCATAGAGGAGTGTTCCCATCTGGCTTACACCTCATAGCTTGCTCAGCTTGCTTTCTTAGTGCACCTAGGATCATCACCTCAGAGATGGCTCCATCCACAGTGAGCGTGGACCTTCACATCAGCCATCAGTCAAGAAAATGCAGGCCATGTCCAGGATTTGCTTTTAATCCTAGCACTTGGGAGGCAGAGACTGTTGGATTTGAGTTTGAAGTGAGCCTTGCCTACATACTGAGTTCCAGGCCAGACAGGACTACAGAATGAGACCATGTCTCAAACGACAAAAATAAAATGAATGAATAAATAGGTCAGATAAAGCTGAGCTTTGTAATGTATGTAAATAATTGCAGCACTTGATAGGTAGAAATAGGATGGACAGGAACTTAATACAATAGTTGTAGGTTACATAGTGAGTTCAAGGACAGCCTGAGTTACATGAGACTGTCTAAAAAAAAAAAAAAGAGAGAGAGACCTTTCCATCAAAAGAGATTAGTGGTTACTATAGTATCTAGAAATGAAAACATAGGAGCTACTGGTAAAAGATAAGGAGTTATGTTTGATCTTCATTTGCCATTTCAGATGAGAAAAATGTCTGGAATTGGATAACTAATGACAGTTGTATAATATTTTCAATATTTAGAAAAATCATTGAATTATACATCTTAAAGTAGTAAATTCTAGGCTATGACTAATACCTCAATTTTAAAACAATGGAAAGTTTTGTAATTTTTAATTTCCACTTGTTATTTTCTCTTTTTTTTTTTTTTTTTTTTTTTTTTGGTCCACTATTAGGAATGCCCCTGTGTTTCTACTTCTGGGCATAAGTGTTGACAACATCGTGGGTTCTACCAGGTCTTTGTTCACCACTACAATAGTGTTAAGTCTGGCACATATGTCCCAGTAAATGAGTAGCATAAGTTAAGTGATGGTACTTTGTAGTGACTGCATCTTTCTTGTGATAGTAATGGAGGTTACCTGTCCTCCCCACTCCTAGGTATCTCGAGGATGAGTGGAACTGCTTTTGAGGTGAAGTCCTTTATATGGTCCAGGGTGGGCCTAGGAATCAAGGGTGTAAAAGATAAATGTCCTGGGCTTTCATAAAGATGGAGTCCTAATGCATGGGGACAGAACTCAGGGTACCAGGCTCTTTTAATATTCCAACTCTTTCCCTCCAGACTGAGGACAAAGTCTCAACAGAAGTCTTCCTACCAAAGTCTTAAAAGGAGCCCTTGGAGGTCATCTTCCTCTTTATCCACATTATTGTTTCTAATCCCTTGACCATGACCTGAATTAGAGGCCTGATGGTCCAGAAGCCAAATTAACAGATAGGCCAAGTAGTAGCCATCCCCTGGGCCAATTGTTTTATATACTTCCCTCCTGAAGTGTTCATTTAATTTGCCATAATAAAAAGCATTGTTGCATGTTGTTTCCTGTATTTCACTTCTCCTGTTACAGAGGAGGCGGGACTATATGGCCCTGTGTACCTCCACTTACACCATATTCATCCAGCACGATTGTTTCCATGGAATTGTGTGAATAAATCCTCCTGGCGAAGGACACATGATACTTCCAGCAATGTCTTTGGAGACCAGGAAATCTGTCAAGATGCTCTATCTGGAGGCTTGCAAGAAGCATACATGTGACAACCAGGGCTCGAATGGGCTACCACCAGGCTAGTGAGTATGGAGAGGGGAAAGGGGGTGAGAGGGCAAACAGTTTAATTCCTTCTGATCATTTGAATTCATACCTTGACTTGTTTTATGACTTGCACATGAGTGGGTGGCAAGGAAGCCTTTTCACAACTCCCCACGTTCCCATCTATACTCCTGTCCTTTCCTCTTCTGGAAATTACTATATAAGGAGTGTCACACCAATCAGCTCCTCCTGAGGATCGAGAGAGTCAGGCTGTCTGGGAAGCTTCTCACAGGGAAGATGTAGCGTGTTCCACACCCAAATTCTTGAGGGAGGGCCTTCAGACACCTATCTTCCCAGCAGAGGCACAGTCTCACTTCTTGGCCAGTTCTGTGGGCCTTTCACAACACATTAATTAGTAGTTCTGAATTCCAAGCAGGCATTAAATGGGAAATCTGAAAAAAATTGTTTTCCAAGACATGGATTTCCTTCATTTCTGTAATTAAAGTACTTTAGGTAATAGTCTGGCATACTTTCTGAAATTCAACTAATAATGGCACAATATTTTTAAATTATAGGTGTGTAAATGAAGACACAGGTGATGTACCACCAGTTGACCTGCAATTTTTATTCTTCTTTTAAGGGTTTAAAAATATGTGGTTAATTTAAAATGAAGAAATAAACTTCAGAATGAAATTCTCATATACACTTTGTTGACCCTCTTCTCTCTCCATTCACTGAACCCCTTGTACTGGTGCCTGTCTTCTCTAAAGTACCTCCCTTCTGTTTTCATGTCATGTGTATTCTATTATGTTATCTGCCCCCTTTCCTTCTCCCCTATCCTAAGACCCATTATTACTCTCAGTTGGTCTCCTTTCTCATTTACAGACATATGCTCACAACTGCATAAGTACGTATACAGACATACATATTATGAGCTATGATCCACCTATAAGAGAAAATGCTGTGTTTGACTCTCTGAATCTAACTTGCTTTGCCTAATATAATAAATTTGTTCCCTGTGGTTATGGTGTTTGCTAAATGGCCATGCTTTCAAACTTCCTTCTTAATACTCATATTTAGTTATGTGCCCAAACTTCATCAAAGAAACTTCTTATGGTCATGGCAAAAGATAATGCAGAAATCTAACCAACCAAAGTGATAAGAATAAGTAATGTCAGGAGAGTCAGATGATAGGGAGATGTATAGCAGAAAGAGTCTTCTTGACATGG